GGAGGGCACCAAGCTCTCCCCGGAGCACCTGGAGTCGCTGCCTGCGGCTTTGGCTCCTGAAGCCTCCTGCTTCTAGGCGAGGCAGTGGGGAAACGCGGGCTCTCCTTGTGCCCCCGTGGAGGAGGGCCTCCCCGTTTCCCATCTTTGCCCCTCACCAGTGAGCAGCGAGTCCTGAGAGAGTTAATGCCCCTGGGCATGGATGCTCCAGTGCTGTAGGCTGGGCTGTGAGCTGGTCCCTGGCTGACAGGCGTTCCTGCCTTGCTTTCTCTGGGCTGGTGTTTGCTAAGACACTGGTGTCCGTTGGCACCCAGGGTACCTCTGTCCTTTCTTCCCCTGACTCGTCTGAATGACCCTGTGTCAGTGGCAGCCTTCTGCTGTCTATTTGCCCCTTGTCAGGTTACTGATGTATTAAATTGAATTGCAAGTATCAGACATGTTCTGATATGTTCTGCCATGTTTTCAGTCTCCTTGCAAAATATGTACTCCAGGGCCTGACGGATTCAGGAAGAAATGCAGTCAGGGTTGTTAAAAAGGGGCCACTTATTTTTAGATGCGCAGTCTGATGCTTACCTCCCTACTGCAGGGATAAGTTGGGCAAACATCTGGGTGCCCTTGAGCAGCAGTCCCAAGGGCATAGGCCAAAGGGCAGGTGAGGTCCCCTCTCCAGAGTCATAGCAGGATGGGGAGGGCGCCAGTGGGGCTGTGCCCCATCCCTATGCAGTGCCACATCTGCCAACATCACTCTTGAGGGGCATCTGTCTGGCCTCTTCTCTAACCTACAAAGCCAGGTTGCGTGGCAGATCTAGTCCAGTGCTCAGCTGCCCACAGGTCAGCCCTCCACGCTGCCCTACCTGATGCTGCAGTGCTGCTGGTTCCAGCACACAGGACCAACTCTTCCCACCTCTTCAGCAGGCCTGAAAGGAAGCACTGCTGTACTGACAGGACAAAAGGGTGCACCAGGCCTTAACTAAGTGATTGCTCTTTCTGTGGTGGTGCCCATTTCTTAGTATGGCTTTAATCAAAAGTTAAGCTGGATAACTTATAAATTATGCAGAATCATTAGCGATTAATGTATTGGGCAGGGCTTAACTGTGACATGCCTTTCCCAGAAAGCCCAGCAGGGTGTTGGAGCATCTTGGCTTTACAGGAATGTTTTTAATAGTTGGCTTCAGAGAGTACATTTTTTGGAGCCCTTGCACTCACAGATCTTTATGGCAACAGCTCTGGCATGAAACTGTTCTGACCTCAGCTGCAGAGCAGGCTGGAGAACGTTAGGCTTAATGTGGGGATCATATGCAAAGCTTTCTATGGTGTAAGCTGTCCTTTGGAGGTCTTGTCATAACAACTTTCAGTGAGGTCTCATCTTGCAAATCCTTGGGATTAAACATTGCCCCGTGTTTCTAGGGTGAACTTCTCTAGTTTTGACTTCTGAAACTTCTTGTCCTGTCTCTTCCTGCTAGGCATGCAAATCCCATGTGGTCAGAAATGTCTTTTCTGCAGTTTGCTGAACCACAAACTGACCAAGGGACACTCATTTTTCCAATGAAGAACTGCAGCCTTGACACCTTCAGGTCTCACTGTCACACAGGTTCAGGTCTGCTTGCCTGGAGCCTGCACAAAGTGTGTTTACGATGCATGAGGTCTGAAGCACTGACTAGCCACGCACACTGTGGCTCTGCTGTGCCTCCATGTGCTCTTGCTCTCCCCTCTCTCTCTATGTGGGACATTTGGGGATTGGCTCTGGGTGTAACAGTGGATCATGCTGGCTTGGAGTGTACTGTCTTTGCAGTTTGATACCACGGTGGTATCCCCCTGGGATGCCCTTCTGCTGCCAGTGAGTGAAGGTCTCTACACATAGTCTGTGCAATCTCTGGCTGAGTACAGTTCAAGCAATACTGTCAGCCCCGTGTGGACCCAGCAGCATGGCTCATGGTTCAGTGCAGTGCCCTTGTTCTCAAATCATAGAGTGACTCAGCCCCAGGGCCATGTCTCAGCATCCCCAGCCTGAAAACCTGGGCTAGGTCAGGCCTGGGTCTCTGCAGAAGCCTAGAAAATTCTTGTGCGGAGCAGGGAGCCTGCTATAAGCTCCATCTACAGACTTCTGCGTCACAGAGATGTCAGACTCTGCCTTTAATTTCCTCACATGCACTGAAAAGTTGGAAAGTCCAACTGCCCACTTTAGGCATGTTCAGACCTCTTCTCATTCTGTCAGATATAAAAAGCTGCCTAATTTATTACTGTAGATGTATCCTGTGAAGCACCAGGTCCTGTTCTTGTCCTGAGGCCAGCTGGCAGGGTCTGGTCACATCCATAGCACTAAGCTCATGAGTTCAAAAAGGGGAGCACATCAGTGTTAGCTACTAGGAATGGTTCATGGCTCGTGCTAACTTCTGAGCCATGCCCAAGAGTGGTTTGGGCACATGCTGGCTGGTTCAGACCAAAGCAGTTCCCAGGACCAGTCTCCACCACTGGATTCTTGGGCTGTTCCTGACCTCATTGCTTTTGCTACCATAGTGATAGCCTTGAACAACTGTTCTTCTTATACCTGAAGGCTAACAGAAACATTGCAGCCCCCCAGTGCACACGCACTTTGAAATGCTTCTGCGTGGGACAGTGCAAGGGAGTGGTTATTTGCTAGCTGACAGGGTGCTGTCTACAGCTCAGCTGTTAGTTGTGCAACTAACTTGCACACTGGCTGTGGCTGGAGCAGAAAACCAGACCACATCTGTGGGGAGCTCAGCTCCTGTGCACACAGAATACACATGCCCCAGTCAGTGGCCAGGTCTGGGGAGTGCAGCTTTATTCAGACTGTTTTGCTGTGGGAGACCAGGATGTGCGGGTAAGGACATGGCTCAGAGACTCCCTCTCACAGGTTAGAGTGATGAACCAGAGTCTCCCTGGCAAAACTCTAAGGAGGCACACTCTTCATGAGATAAAGGATGTTCGAGTGTATCTTTGAATCCTTTCCAGTTTTCCAGCCTCCTGTTCTGGAAGAGAGGGTGCAGCATCCTGTGATGTCCTTGTTTGTGTTGTCTCCAATGACTATCTCCTGCTGATGTGGCAGGCTTCTGTTGGGGATGCACTTAGCCCCAGTGTGTCTCTGAGAACGTGTTTTCTGGGCTCTGTGGGGGTGACACTCCTATCTGTCTTAGTCACCTGTGGCCGACCACAAACCTGCATTTCTGAGATAGGAATCACAGCCTTTTCCTGGTTAGATCTGGCATGGAGCTGGGTATATTCAAATGTGAATGAATGCATTTAAATAGCTGACCTGCAGAAATGACCTTTCCTTGTCACTCTAACTGTGGTTGTTGGTGGTGTCTACGGTTGTTTTTTTTCTTGTTCTCAGGTGCCCTCTGGGGCTCTTTTTCTTTCTGTATAAATCACAAGATTGAACTTGTGCTGCACAAGAAGCTTGTAGAAGGACACTGTCTTGTTTACAGGGAGAGAGGACACACAAACAGCAGCCTCAGTGTCTTTCTTCATGCGCTCCTGTGTCTAATTTCCAGACAAAATTTAGCTTTGTATGCAGGTCTGTGTACTTGTGTAGGATCCTGCCATGCTCTTAGTGCTGTGAAATCTCAAAATGGTGATGTTGCAGACCATGGGTCAACCAGGCCAGCTTTCTGAAGGATAGCAACGGCTGAGTGTTGCTGCCAGCTTTGCAGCCGATGGCATTGCACTGCTGGGAAAGTCAGCTCTGCCTTCTGCATTGGGCTTTCCTTCCCACTCTAGAGCAGGGAGTAATGCCAGGCAGATGAGATGGCCAGATTGAGTTGCATAGTGTGTTTATTCCAAGCTGCCCCATTTTTCTGTCACAGTTGATATATAAATACTGTGTCTGGGCTGCTTCCTACGCAGTTCTGGGTGGTGTGCCAGGCATTCGTGATGTGCGCATCCACGGGGCAGCCCCAGAGCTTAGAGGAGCCTGATTTTACCATCGCAGTCTTGGCTGAAGAACTGCATTAATGTAGGATTTGTTTGGACTTTCTGGACCTACAGAAACACGGGACTTCCCTGCCAAGAATCTACTCTGTGCCCAGACTGAGCAGGAGCATGTCATGCCAGGCAGCCCTGCTTCTGCTAGTGCTGGAGCTGAATGAAGTAAACTTTCCAACAGATGAACATCTGAGCAGCAGTGAAGGTACCTCAGATCTGCAAGCAGATGCCCTTGTGAAGAGCTGATGTGAATGTCATTCTCCTCTCTGATAGCAGGGTCTCTGCAGTGCTCTGAGACAGGCTGCAGGGACTTCTCTTTTCATGTGATTTTGAGCTGCAGGGACTGGTTAAATTGCCATGACAGTCTCTTAAACTCTGTAATTCTTTTTTGCTCAGGACAGGCCTTCATGAATTTCCCATTTCGATGTCTGCAAGGTGGAAGGAGCCTACTGGTGGCCCTTCGTGTCCTTAGCTGGGTCTGGCAGCCTGGGCGTGTGGTCAGCAGTGCTAATCCTTTTTACATGGAACATGTATTATGAGCAATGGGCTATGTCTGCCACTGCAAGCAAGCCCTTTAGAGAAGAGCCAGTCAGATGCCTCACAAGCTTGTCCTCCTTCCCTACTGTAGGACACTGCAGAGGGTGAGGTGTGCAGTGAGCACATTTCTCACCAACAGCCAGGCAGGGAGAAATCCTGGCCAGCGAGCAAAGACTGCCAAAGCCAGCGGGTGCCACAGAGGGGGTAGCTGCACAGGCAGGGAGTAGCTCTGTGCCTGCACACCTCCCACATACAGTGGGCAGCTGCCCCCTAGCCCACTAAGCACCATGCCGTGCATGTGTTGCTGCTGGCAGGGGCTCAGCCTTGTGCACCTCCTGTGCCACTCCTCTCCTGGGGACAGACTCACCAGAGAAGCTGCTCCCTGTAGCTCTGGCCAATGTGTTGCCGTGGGCAGATGTTGAAGACGCCCCCAGTGGTGGTGTGCAGGGGCGAGTGCCTGTTCTGAGACATCTTCTTTTGCCTCTCTCCTGTGCCTTGCCTCGGTCCATCCCTGGCTCACCCAGACAGGCCACCATCCCCTGTCAACGTGACTGTGACGCAGCTGAAGGCAAACTCTGCCACAGTCTCCTGGGACGTCCCAGAAGGAGACGTGGTCATCGGCTATGCCATCTTACAGCAGGTATCCAGGCTCTGTCCCGAGGGGACTGGGGACCCCTCTCACTGATTACCAGCATGCTCCCATGTCAGCCCTTTTGCCGCAGTTTGGAGCTCCTCTGGCACCTGCCTGAGGACACCTCTGCTGTTAAGCAGCCCTTGCCAGGGCACCCTGTCTGAGTCATCCATCCTGGTGGGAGGCAGCAGACCGTGGGCTGCTCTGGGGGTAGCTGGCCCTCCAGTGGCTTCCCTGCAATTTCTCTGGATAAGGATGGTGCTTCAGCCATGACATAACCCTTCTTTGCTTGCCTTGCTCCACCTCCACAGCCCCAGGCAATGGTGGCTTCTCCAGGGAGGTGCCTGGCTCTTAGGCCACACAGGGATGCTGCACAGCAAAGTGCTGGCCAGACTGGCCCACCCCAGGGGTGGATGATTGCCTGGGAAGGGAGGAGTAAGGGCAGTGTGCCCAGCACAGCCCTGCAGACAGGGGCCTGTGGCTGGTGCAGCTGGGAACAGTCTCCTGGGGATGACAGCTCTTCACTCTGGCAGCGGCAAGATGGACAGATGCAGCGCTTCATCCGGGAGGTGAACACCACCAACCGGGCCTGCGTGCTGTGGGACTTGGCAGAGGATGCTGATTACATCATCCAGGTGCAGAGCATCGGCCTGTATGGGGAAAGCCAGGCCAGTAAGCGTGTCCACTTCCGGACCCTGAAGGAGACCGACCGCCTCCCTTCCAACAGCTCCAACCAAGGTGAGGCAGCTCCTTCCAGCTCACCCAGGTGCTGCTGGTGAGGCACACCTGGAGGTCTCCACAGCACACGGGCTGCTTGGGACACAGAGGGTCATAACAGGTAGCAGGGTTGTACAGGCTGCTGTTCTGTCCGCTATGGCCATGATAATGTCCCCAAGCCCTGGTTTACAGCCAGGGATAGGAGATCCCAGGTCTTGGCACCCTATTCAGCTAAGCAGGCTGTGGCCAGGACAACTGCTGTGGCCTGCTCAGCTGCTGCCCACAGGAAGTAAATACTGAACAGGCTCTCAGATCTTCCAGCCTGCAAGCTACCAAAGGACAAATGACGGAGCCCCACAGTCTCCTTTCCTACCCATATCCATGTTGTGCCTTCTTGCCTTGGGGTTGCCTACATGCTGGTCCATGAGAAATGATCCAAGAATCCAAGAGAGATGATGCCCAGAGGGGATCTACTGGGCACAGGAGTCTGTCTCCAGCACTAGCCATAAGAGGGGGACTTGAGAAGAGTATAACAGGGCAAGCAGATGGCTTACTTACCTCAGAACTTTTGTGTTCAACTCAGGGCCTTCCTAACCTGCCCTGGTCCCTACATAGGGAGTAAATTCAGTGGTTACTCCCATGCATTGTGCAATCCCTACTTGAACCCAAATAAGCTGTTAGAATATCTGACTGCCTTTGGTAGTGAGGATAGTTTATCTGACACAGAAAAGCCACAGGCTGCATGTCCTCTCCCCAGCCAAGATGTCATCCCACACCCGTCCTTGTTTGGGGGAGGTGGGCCGCTCTCCTCTGAAGCTCCTTCTCAGATCCTCACATGTTGCTGGTCCTGAAGTAGGTTCTGGTGGGAGGGTATCTGCTGCCAGCCCTGCCTGGGTTCTCTTCGCTGCAGGTGATATCACCATGGAAGGGCTGGACAAAGACAGGCAGCTGCAGACAGGCGAGATTATCATCATCGTGGCTGTGCTGCTCATGTGGGCAGGTGAGTGCCACAAGCAGTGTTCCAGCAGGCTGGGACAGAGGTGCAATCCAGGGTCCACAGAGAGGATGGGGCTCAAGAGAGTGCAGAGGCATATTGGTATGGGTCTGACATCCTTTCCAGTAAGTCCATTGAGTCTGTAGGATCTCGAGCCAGTGGGGTAGAAGGAGCAACCGCAGCCACTGCTCAGCAGTGATGGCCTGGAGCATGTGGGCTGGCTGGCCTGACTGCTGTGCTGGAAGAATGGGAAACAATGTGAGACCCAAGCAATACAGAATTACAGGGTGGGAGCATCCCAGCTGACATTAACTACTATGTAACTTGGGCCTTAGCTAGCTTGTCTGACATCTGATAACATTGCTGCACTGGCTGGCAGTGGCTGTGCCTCAATCTGCTAAAACTGTAAGATGGGTGATTTGTTCCTGTACAGCACCTGATTAAAGCCAATGCTCTAGCAAACAGCAGGTTGCCCTGGGAGCAAGGAAGCCTAGGAGATAACAGTCAGCTCCTGACTGGTCACATGCAGCTGCTGTGAATAGGAAGTCATTTGTCCTCTACTCCCTTCCCAGTAAATGTGGATTTTCTAGTGGCATCTTGCAGGAATCTCTCCTTGTCCTGGCCTTGAACAATTTTCTAGTGCACTGGAAGAAAATACAAGATGGCTGCTCCTAGCTTACACCTCATGCAGGTTGGTGTGTCAGAGTGCCAACAGGGAGAAATCAGGTCCAGTCTGCGTGTGGTTTGAATGGGTCAAACACATGTAATGATTACAGTTCAAAGCATTGCTCCAGAGTCCTGCGTCCAGGGTCCCAAGGTGTGGGACATGTGCTGGTGAGATGGGTGCTGTAAAACCATGACGGAGTGACTGACCCCACAGTCAGTTTGAAAGACAGGACAAAGCCAAGGGCTGGCTTTTGTGAGGGTTGCAAGCACTGGACCAATAACTTTAGTACCTTGCTGGAGGCACTCAGGAACCCACTCAGCTGCTCATTGACCTCAAGGCCTGTCCCTCTCCAAGTGCCTTTGGCCTCAGAGCCCTGAGCCATAGGCACCGAGCACCTCACATGTGCCCTGATGGCTTTAGCCACATCCGTGCCTCATCTGCCAAGGAGACTGGCCTGGCCACACATGCAGAAGTACCTGGGGTGGTCCAGGCTGACACAGGTGGCGGGTGTGGGTGACCAGCATGCCAGGGTGCCCTGGGCCTGACTGCTGTCCAGCTGGGATGCTGTGGGGAGGGGAGGCAGGGGGCAGCCAGTGTGAGGGAGTCCTTCATCCCCTGTCTTTCGGCAGCGGTGATCGCCCTCTTCTGCAGACAGTATGACATCATCAAGGACAACGACTCCAACAACAACAAGGAAAAGACAAAGCCGTCCTCAGAGCACAGCACGCCAGAGCGACTGAGCGGAGGGCTGCTGCGGAGCAAGGTGAGTGGGGAGGGCTGGCAAGAGGGATGGCATATGACGTCTGCCGTGGCTTGCTGCCTGGACAGGTTCTGGCTCTCTCCAGAAACAGAAACACCCCAGCTCATACTCTCACCCAAAAGACTGAGGGTTTTTAGAGTGCAGTGAGCCCTGGTCTCTCTGGGGCAGTGTGTGTGCGCTGTGGATGACTGCAGGAGAAACATTGGAAGAGATGGCAGGATATATCAGCTGGGATGGCTCCCACATTGCAGGGTGGTACCTGTCCTCTCACTGTAACAGCCCCTTCACCATGCCCGTTCAAGGCTGCACCTCTTCTGCATCCCATAGACAGGTCTAGCTCCTGCCTGCTCAGGCAGGAGGCGGACAAGCTGGGCAGCTGTTCTTATGGTTCTTGCACTGGTCTATCGCTGCTCACTTTCTGCCTTCACTGGGGCCTGCTCCAGGCCATCACCACACAAGTCATTCATGGGAAGGATCCCAGAGCCCCTTCCCCACCCTAATGGAGGTACTGTGTCAGGCTATGGATGGGGAGGGAGCAGTACTTTCATCTGGCTGTTCCCTCAGCACCTGACACTTCTCCGTTTGTTACTTGACAAAGACAGTGATTTATAACCCTGATGCGCATGCTCCAACGGGACCTTGCATTAGGTTTTTCCCTCGTGTCTCATCTGCCTCTTCTATCGATGGTGGGAACTCTACTCACTGTGTTGCCTAACTGCCCCTCTGCTTCCACATCTTGGTTTCCAGCAGATGTCAGGAGCAGAAACTTCCTGTTTGGACTTCAAGGCCCCAGATCTGTTCCTCCAGATTTTCCAGCTTCCTGATCACTCCTTGCCAAAAAGATCCCTCCTCTTGGATCCCTGCTCCAAACTGACCCTGCTCATATAGGGCTGCAAAGGCAGGTGCAAAGACCTGTTCCTGCTGTTTGTGAAGTTCACCTGTACAGGGCTGATGCACCTCAGTTTGTCTTTTTGCATTCACCATACTCTTGGCATCCTGGGGGATGGGGGATCCTTGGAAGGCTGGGGGATGAAGGGATGGAGAGCAGCCCTGCCGAGAAGGACTTGGGGGTACTGGTGGATGAAAAGCTGGATATGAGCCAGCAATGTGCGCTTGCAGCCCAGAAGGCCAATCATATCCTGGGCTGCATCAAAAGAAGCATGGCCAGCAGGTCGAGGGAGGGGATTCTGCCCCTCTACTCTGCTCTGGTGAGACCTCGCCTGGAGTACTGTGCCCAGCTCTGGAGCCTCAGCATAAGAAAGACACGGACCCCTTGGAGCGGGTCCAGAAGAGGGCCACAAAAATGATCAGGGGGATGGAACACCTCTCCTATGAAGAAAGGCTGAGAGAGCTGGGGTTGTTCAGCCT